AAGAGCAGGCATCTGTGGTGGTATTGTGTTCCCCAAAATATTGTGTACCCTAATAAACTTATCTGGGGTCAGAGAACAGGACAGCCACTAGATGCAGAGGCTAGAAAATGGTGACACTCACACCTTTAATCCTAGCATTCCAGAGGCAGAAATCCCTCTGGATTTCTGTGAGTTCAAGGCCACATTGGAAACAGCCAGGCATGGTGACACATGCCTTTAATCCCAAGAAGTGAGCCTTTAATCCCAGGGAGTGATGGCAGATAGCAGAAAGCTATATAAGGCGTGAGGACCAGAAACTAGAAGCTTTTAGCTGGTTAAGCCTCAGGTTTTTGAGCAGCAGTTCAGCTGAGAGCGACTGGGAAGCTTCCAGTCTGAGGAAACAGGATCAGCTGAGTAACTGTCAAGGTGAGGAAGCTGTGGCTTGTTCTGCTTCTCTGATCTTCCAGCATTCACCCCAATAACTGGCCTCAGGTTTGATTTTATTAATAAGACCTGCTAAGATTCCTGCTACAGACATCCATGGGGTATTAACCAAACACAGCATAACAAGATGCAATACGACTAGGCCATATACCCTCCTATCAAGGCTGGGCAAGGCAATCCAGTTGGAGGAAATAGGTCCCATGAGTAGGCAAAAGAGTCAGACACACCCCAGTCCCACTGTTAGGAGTCCAACAGAAACCCCAAACTAAAGAACCACAGCATGTATGCAGAGGGCCTGGTGCAGACCCATGCAGGCTCCATGGTTGCCACTTCAGTCTCTGTGAGCTTTTATATTAAAAAAAAAAAGAAAGAAAGAAGCCGTCTATATTGAGTGGTGGGGATAGAACTGACACCTTAATTATTTTATTCTAATCCCCTGAAATTACTACCAATATATTTTTATGACTAAATAATTATTAAAATTGCTTGACCCACAGATAGTGTGTTGGCAGCCTAATGGTTATTATTTATGGAAAATTATCATCTTATTTGATCTAATCAACAGTGATAGATATGAAGAATAATGGTCATGGGCTATGGCATCCATCTCATCAATTTAATATGCGCATATCTCTATATAGTTTCTTTCTTTCATTGGTGCTACTGTCTGAGATGTTTCCTAGGTAAAGGGAAAAGAATTATGTGATCTCTAAGGTCCTCAATCATCATGATGTACCATGGCTATTTTCCTAAAGTATCTTTGGATAAGCAAAAGCTACAATATCTTGTTCTACTTCAGTTATTGAAAAGAAGGTTCCAATGAGCATTCTACTATAAAACAACATTTGGTTCTCTATGCAAGAGAAAATGTATCAGTAAAAATATAAAAATCATAGAGAAATTAACTAAAAATATTTTTGGCTTGAATTTAGCATTGACATTTTATTAGTTCTTTGAGAACCTTGATCAAGTGTAAAATCATAGAGAAATTCACTGAGAATATTTTGAGGCTGTATTTAGCATTGACTTTTAAAAAATTATTTAGTTCTATGAGAATCTTTGGCAATATGTCTTGATTATACTCACTACCTACTTCACCTGTTCCCAGATCCACTACTCTCTGCTGTACACATCTAATTTTGTGTCCATCTCCCTTCCTTTTTCATTTTTACAACCATCAGATCCCGTCTACACTGCCCATTTATTCCTGAACATGTGGTCTTCCACTGGAGCATCATCAACCTATCAGGGGTCTCATTCTTAAAGGAAAGTGACTCTTCCTCTCTCAATAGTCAGTAACTAACAATACCTCCTCATGAAGTGGTAGAATTTCATGCTAACCTCCCCTCTTCATGCTGAGATTTGGTCTGTCTTGAGCTTTCACAAGTGTGCATGCTGTGAATCCAGATAATAGTTTCCTTGTCAGTCACCACCTCTAGCACTTATAATCTTTGAGTTCCCTCTTCCACAATGATCTTGGAGCATTGGGAGGAGGAGATGTGATATTGATGTCCTATTTAGGGCTATGAATTCTACAGTCTTTTATTCTCTGTACCCTGATCAGTTATATGTCTCTGTATTAATAGCTATCTATGGAAAATAGAAGCTTCTCTGCTGAGGGTTACAAGATGCATTAAGAATACAAACCCAATTAAAATTAGGTTATAAAACTGAACAAAGAATTCTCAAAAGAATACAAATGGATGAAATTTTTAAAAAATGGCATCCTTAGCCATCAGGGAAATGGAATTTCAAATTAATTTCAGATTTCATCTTACCCCACTCAGTATGGCCAAGATGAGAAAACTTAAATGAAAGCAGATACGTGCATGGATATGGGGAAAGAGGAACATTCAGTCACTGTTTGTGGCAGTGAAAACTGGTGCAGCCACAATGAAAATAATATAAAAATCACTATGGTGGTTCCTCAAAAAGCTAGAAGAAGATGCACCACATGATCTAGCTAAACTACTCGGGTGTATACCCAAATCTTGTATAATATTAGAGGGACCAGCCTTAATATTATACATCCCAGGGGCTCAGGAGAGAGAACTATTAACAGCAAGGACTATTTTCGGCAAATAGAATCTCAGCACACCAAGCTCTATAGCCCACTTGCTTTAATTCCTCTGGCATAACATCCTATATACACAGCTTCAGTTCTGTTCTTGTGACTAGCTCCTTTCTTGCCTGATTTCTCTCTATACTTATCTATTGCTCCCTCTAAGTTCTATCTTAATTCTCTCCTCTTAATTCTGCCTCATCTAGGTCCTTTTCAGCTTGTTCTTACCCAGCTAGTACTTCCCCATCTGGCTCTTCCTCATCTTCCATCTCATTCCTCTAGTACTCTCTTCTAGCCCTTCAATCTAGTTCTTCCCCATCTGTTTGTTCCTCTCAAGTTCTTACCCATCTAGTTCTTCCATTCTCTTTTTTCTTCTTCTTTGTACTGTTCTCTTCTTGTCTACAGAAAATACCTGCCTTTTCTTTCCTTGGGCAAGTGGTTCCCTGCCTCCTCAGGAATGTTGTTTTACCTCTCACTTTGATATGTAAAAACATCTTTTGTTCTCAGTCAAAGTGCTCTGGAGAACCATTAGGCCTCCTCAAGGCCAGGGGACGGTCTGAGCTTCATTAGCACAGGAAACAAAGCTAGGCATCTAGTCTCCTGCCAGCTTGTCTCCTAAGCTCAGCAGGGCAGTTAGTAATTTAGTAGGTTCAGCAGGTCTGGGAAGCTGAACTGTTTACCAATTGGTCTGGGCATACAAGGATTTCACAGCAGAAGACAGCTGGAATATTAAAGGCTGGGTAGCATCAAATATTCATAATAAATGGCTTTTCCTTTTGACAGACCCTTGGCCGGTGAAAGTTCAGCTTTAATGCACAGCTGAATCTCTATGATATATTCTTGCGGTCCGCAAGACCCAAAGGACTCCATTTGATACTATATAGATGCCTACTGCTCAGCAATGTTTATTGCTTCTTTTTACACTATCCAACAAATGGAAAAAGCCGAAATGTTCAGTATCTAATGAATGAATAAAGAAAATGTCAGTAAATTGATGGCTGAAACTGCAAAGAGACAGTTCAGCCCTAGAGGGCGAGGTATCCTGGACACCTCCAGCTACTTAGGACAAGAGCTCTGCCCTGAAGTTGTCCCGGACACCTGGAGCTGTTTAACACAGCTCTGATGTCTGAGACTGCAAAGAAACAGCCCAACCTTGGAAAGGAAGGTTTTTCTGACTTCTCGGGAGAGTCAGGCCCGGAATTGCTTCAGCAAGGAAGGGTATCCTGACTCTTAGGGAAAGTCAGGATATACCTGGTATGATGGTATGATTGGGGGTGGTTTCCCTGCAGGACACAGCAATCCTGCTCCTTTCCTGGAGAACCACAATCTCTGGCTCAGTGTTACCAGATCTTTCTTGCTCAGTCTACTTTGGGACATCCCAGCAAGGTTCTTCTGTTCAGCTGTCAATGAAGGTCTTCACCCAATACTCCTTTGAGAAAGAGGTTTATTTGGGAAGGAGGAGTCCAGGAGAGTAGCTGCCTCTACCAGGGTGGAGAGAACAGCTCACAACTGACCAGGCAGGGGAGTTTATATAAGATGTCTAGGGGGCGGAGTCAACTGTGATGGTTAGTTTATTTTCTGCCCAGGGATTGGCCAGTTTTGTGAGCAAGGGGCAGAGATGGCCCTGATTTCAGGGCCAAACTGTGTTTCTTTCACTGGCCTTTCTTGGCTTTTTGTCACTACCTCTAAGGCCAGGGCACATTTCTTTCACTGACTCTGATTCTAGGGGCCAAGAATGTTATTTTGGTACTAGTTTCAGAGTCAGGGCATATTTCCTGGGTTCTGGGTTTGGGGATAAAGTGCTTATTTCTCTGGCTCAGGTCCCAAACACAGGCTGTGTTTCTTTCCCTGGTCCTGGGCTCTAGGCCCAGGATTCTACTGTCCTGCTCTGTGATTGGTTGTTTTCACAAGTCAGTTGGACAGGGGCAGAGATGGCTCTGATCTGAGCTAAACTGTGTTTCTCTCACTGGCCTTACTTAGCTTTTTTACACTACCTCTAAGGCCAGGGCACATTTCATTCACTGACTCTGATTCTAGGGGCCAAGAGTGTTTCTTTGGTACTGGTTTCAGAGTCAGGGCATGTTTCCTTGGTTCATTTCTCTGGCCCAGGTCCCAAACACAGGCTGTGTTTCTTTCCCTGGTCCTGGACTCTAGGGCCAGGATTCTGCTGTCCTCCTCTGTGATTGGTTGATTTCACAAGTCAGTTGGACAGGAGCAGAGATGGCTCTGATCTGAGCTAAACTGTGTTTAATCAGTTTAATCAGCAGTTAATCAGCTGCTGAGATGAGGCTGGAACATGTACCTGGCAAACTTCATGCAAATGTAGAAGGAAGAATGCAAGTGTTGAGTACTGTTCTTTTCCTACACAGGCAATTATTGTAGCAAATAGAAATTGCTTGCTCTGTGGTCAAGATGTACAGCTATTAAATTTGCCTTGTCTACTTAGTGAAATATAGAATTCAAATGGTTAGTCATGTAATTGTTGTCTATTAACAACTCTTATTTTCCTTTGCAGCCTCTCTCCCAAGCATGCTCCAGATATTCCTGACGACAGCACTGATAACATCACTATCTTCACTAGAATCTTGGATCGGCTTCTGGATGGCTATGATAACCGGCTTCGACCTGGGCTTGGAGGTCAGTTATTCTTTTAAAAGCCCTCTGCTAAGATATTGCTCCTTAAAAAGTAATAAAATGCCTTCTGTTGACCAAGGGGCTTAGTGTACAGTTGAGTTTCTTCACTCTGAACATTAGAATTTCATTCTAATCATTCACTTCAGTGAGTGACCTTGCATTTAGTTTTGTAGGATTTCATTAAACAAGACAAATACATTATGCTATGGGTTATGCTGAATAGCAAGTATGCAGGTATATGTGTTTAATTCTCCCCAAACAATTTCATAGTCGCATATAATATACCTTTTTATTGTTAAAAGCTTCATTATATAATTCCATAAAAAGGGATTATTTTATAAGTAATACACATACAACTTAACCTAATACTCATTTCTAATTTGTGTTCCTATTCAAATTTCCTAATTATAACCAAAATGTCCCTTGATTTGGATTCCATCCAGGCTTGAACATCACCATGCCCTTTTAACCCACAATCTGATAGTTACTCCTTTATAATGTTGCTAAGGTATTCTTTATTTATTTTTGGAAATAAAAGCACAAAGCTAATTGGATCTTTCTTGGGGAATTATTCCAGAAGAAGACTCTGTGTGTGTGTGTGTGTTTGTGTGTGTGCATGTGTTCAGTATTTAAATCTTAATGTCTACCAGGTCATGCATCCTGGAATTAACATTTTTCAGCTTATGCTTAATAGGTAACATATGGAGAAATGCTAATATTGAGACTACTCTGCTCCTCTTCCAACTATATCTTGTATAAACAGTGACAGTGATATATATCCATTACGTATCCTATATATTTTGAAGAGGGCATTATTAAAAGGCATCATGTGTATTTCCCTTTAGTTAATTAGCTAATCACCTGTATGAATTTTCTTATCTTAATGCATTTGAAAACAACATTATTCATGTTGGTGAAAAATTTAGCTTCTAATTTGCCATATTTGCCTACTCTAAATCATTTCAGGTTGCCTTCTGTGTTCTTTTGATATGGTCATGCCATGTTTTGAAAAATTGTTTAATAGAAGTCATGATTCATTTTTGACTATCTTGTGCGTTGCGTGATTCATCCTACCAATCAGTCACTTTTCAAAAATAGAACTTTTGTAAGGAGTTATATTCTGAGTGCTAGGTGTTCTCCTTGCAATAGCAGCATCATTGCTTCTGTTTCAGTGAACAGAACTTAGAAATGGTAGACATACATATATATATATGCACACATATGTGCATTGACATGCTATATACTGCTGTGGGATGTTCTGTATGGCAAATATGTTAATAAATAAAACACTGATTGGCAAGTAGCCAGACAGGAAGTATAGGTGGGACTAACAGAGAGGAGAATTAAAGGAACAGGAAGGGAAGGAGGAGACTGCCTGAAACTGCCACCAGAACAAGAAAGATGTAAGGTACCAATAAGCCACGAGCCATGTGGCAAAGTATAGATTAATAGAAATGGGCTAAATATAAGAGTAAGAGCTAGACAATGATAGGCCTGAGCTAATGGCCAAGCAGTTTAAATAATATAAGCATCTGTATGTTTATTTTATAAGTGGGCTAAGGGACTGCCTGGGCTTGGCAGGACCCGGAGAGAAAACTCCAGCTACAATGTACAGACCTGTATATAGTTATAAACACATGTACACAAATAAGTACATATGCATATCAATGTAGATGTTTATGTGTAGTGCATTTATATTGATAATAATAATTCCAGCATAGCATAGTAGTTGTATTGTTTTATCTACTCAGTCTTTCACTTCATCTTCAAACAATTTTTGGATTTACTATACCCCTACAATTAAAATACACATTAAAAAATGTATTTCCAGGATTTTTGTTAATTGTTTTTAGAATAACTCTATATGACAGTTTTGTGATACAAATAACGCATTGCTGTAGGGCAGTATTGGAAGAAGAGACCAATCATACATTAATTGTATTTATCCTGGATAAGAGATTATGGGAAAGAACAAAGTTTGTGACAAATCACAGAGTTAGAGAAGTAAGGTGTTAGGGGAAGAACAGGATACCTTTTAGTTCTGGCTTATGTGATTCAGTAGTGAACACTGGAGGGGAATCACTGCTTTTTAATTTTGTTCTTTTGGAGTTGTTGAACAGGGAATGTACTATGGAAAGGAAGAAGAAGATACGTGGTGGAAGGAAATTATCTACACCACAGAATTGTCCCCTGAGCTTGAAACACATACTGTGTAATGTGTGCCCCACTCACAAAATATATAATTGCATGTTAAAAAATAAATGTCAAAAATATGAGATGAGACTTTTATTCTGGCTAAATTGAAAATAAAGGGATCACATTTATCTTCTCATCTCACACAGCAACTGCAAAGTGAACAAACACACTGAGTAATGTTCTTCAGAAACTGAACAAAGGTAGCACATGATAGTGATTATTAAAATGCAGAACACAAATTGAGCTTCCCAACTGCAGCTGCTGACTGCTTGGCAACCCTAATAATGCCTACTAGGCTCCTTAATGACAAGATAAAGTGGAAAGACTTGAGAAACTGAGGATATTAGCCTCTTTACTCTAGAATATGTAATCCTTACTGCTAAGAACATAATGAAGTAACATGAAGAAGAGGGAAGAAGGCAGGGAAAGAGAGAAAAAGGAAGAGAAATAGTGAGACAGAGAACCAGAGAGAGGCCCAGAAATCTGCAGAGGAGCCTTTGTAAGCTTTCAGGCAAGTATTTTCAGGTTATTCATACAATGCAACAACCGAAGGTAGGATGAAAGCCAACTTAAAAATAGGGAGGAGCAACAGAGTTGAGAGTAACTTATGTTTCTACTAAAGACATGCTACATGGAGTATGAGGCAGGATTTTTCTGAAGGATAGAGCCTCAATGAGATTCAATAATACTCCAAGACTAAAAGTTGATCTAATCATATATACTAAAGCTTTAAGTTAAGCTTCAAAATAACATAATACCATAACAAATGTCAAGAATATCTGTGTTTATAACATAAAATCTAATAGCTGGCCAGGCAGTGGTGGCACATGCCTTTAATCCCAGCACTTGGGAGGCAGAGCCAGGTGGATCTCTGTGAGTTTGAGGCCAGCCTGGTCTATAGAGCGAGAACCAGGACAGGCACCAAAACTACACAGAGAAACCCTGTCTTGAAAAACCAAAAAAAAAAAAAAAAAACCCAAAAAACCAAAAAACCAAAAACCAAAAAAAACAACAAAAAACCTAATAGCCAATGAAGAAGACTTCACAATGGCTACTGTCCAGTCAAAAATTTTTGAGTATGGAAAAAAAAATTACATAATTAGATAATAGGTAAATAGTGAATCTACTCTAGGGAAAGAAAGATATACAAATGATAGGACACAAGGGAGATTATTGGATATACTCTGAAAAGAAAAAAAAGAGGATATAGATATAAGATAAAGGGTAGACTATCGAATCTATTCTGAAAAGAAAAATAAGAGACTATATATATGATAAGATAAAAAAGTAGATTATCGAATCTACTTTTAAAAGGCAACTACTAGTTTTAAATATTTTATATTGGATTGGATTTTTATATATTGTATACAAATTTTGTCTGGAGTCACCAAAATAGGATAAATAATGAATTTTTTTGTCCGAATTTGTCAAATGTTAATGAATTGGACATTGTTAATGTAATTCTTGACAGTATATATTGTATATACTTATTGTACTTTTGTATATAGTTTTTCTTATAGTAGTTATAACTTTTTTATTTAGACAAAAAAAGAGGAAATGTGGTGATATTTTATTTGTGCTCTAACAAATAAAATTTTTCTGGGAATCAGAGGACAGAACAGCCACTAGATAGACATAGAAGCCAGAAAATGGTAGTATACATGCCTTTAATCCTATCACTCAGAGGCAGAGATCCATCTGGATCTCCGTAAATTCAAGGCCACACTGGAAACAGAGCCAGGCAGTGGTGGCACACACCTTTAATCTCTGCACTTGAAATCTCATATCTTGCTTGGGAAGGACACAGTTCTTTAATCCCAGGAAGTGATGGCAGGCAGCAGAGGACCAGGAACTAGAAGCTTTTAGCAGCAGTTCAGCTGAGACCCTCAGAAGTGAGGACTCAGAGGCTTTCATTCTGAGGATTCATGGATACAAGATCAGCTAAGGAGTTGGCGAGGTGAGGTTGGCTGAAAAAAGAAGGCTATCACACATCTAAATCACTAACATTGGAAGTCAGAGAGAGTCAAGTTAGAAGAGGTCATGAGATTTAAAGGGAGCATGGAAGAAAGTAGAGGTGGGGATGGAGGGATGGGAGTGATGTTGATGCAGTGTACACACATCAATATAATAATGATAAATAATAATTTAATAAAAAGTAAAACAAACTTTCTAGCTAAGTACTTTAAAGTGAAAAACATTAGTAGATAAAATTAAAATGATGGGACAAGATGCACTATGTTAACACAAATCAAAAGAAGACTGGACTTATTCTTTTAATATCAGGAATACAAATAAAGAGCAAAGAACACTGATGTGAGTAAAGGAGATTATTTCATAAGGCTAAAGGGATTCCTTCATCAAGAAATATGATAATGTAAAAGATTCATGAATTGATATCTGAGCTTGTGGATAAATGAAGAAAAGCTGAGAAAGAATGGAGAAAGAACTACAGTTCTAATTTCAACACTGTTTTCTCAAATGAAACACAGAAAACAAATATAAGCACCAGAAAATTAGCACACATTAACAACCAATTGACTTAAATGCCATTCCAATCATCAATAACAGAAAGATATTCTTTTCAAGTTTCCTGGTAATATTTCCCAAAGCAGATCATATTCTGGTTAATAAAATTAAAAGAATGTTGATATGATGATTTCATGCTTGTAATTTCTGGAAGCTGATACAAGAGGATAGTGAGTTCAAGACCACCTTGGGGTACATTGTAACATTGAGACTACTCTAGGATACATAGAAAGCTTAAAACCAGCCTAGGATACATGCTGAAACTCTCTCTGTCTCTGTTT